GAGAGAGTAGGCAGAGTGGAGGAGACACCATACAGCCGCTAAAGAAGAAAGAGATCCAAACATTACTGGCAAGTCACGAGCCTCACGGTAAAATATAAACTAATAGAAATGGGCTTATTTAAAGAGAGAGCAAGCTAGTAATAGCCTGAGCCATTGGCCAGACTATTGTAACTGACATTAAGCCTCTGAGTGGTTATTCAGGAACAGGCCAGCAGAGAGAAACCGGTGGGGGGGGGGCGGAGGGTGAACGGACCAGCAGGACAGGGATACTGGAACTATACAGCACCTCACCATCTTCCCATTAGAGCCCCACCACTGCAGCATCTGCCATAAGCACCCATCCCTCTGCATTCAGTTTTTTTCCTTGATAGATTTTGTACAAGGGAGCAACTCCCAGGCTAGAATTCACCTCTTCTATATGGTCCATTTTTCTCCAGGAAAACCACCAACACCCTGGGGGCAGAGCATTCTCAGGTTTACTGACCTAGCAGCAGAGCCTTGTGTGAAGCCTCTTTTGATTGGGTTCTATCTCTGACCCTGCTCTCACCCCTTCACCTGCCTTCACCTCCTCCTGGAGGACAGTTTCATTGAGGGCTGTAAAAGGGGGCAGAGACAGTGAGGGGTTGTTACTTGGAACCCTCAGGAACATTCCAGAGCCATAAGCTCGGGACCTGATGTGCTGAAGCCCTTCTAAGCTTACTTTTTATTTTAGAATATGAAAGAAGAGTGAGAATTTGGGGTAAAATTTGGTCTTTCAGAGTTCAGGAAATAGAGGAGCCTCTGCCATCTTTTCTTTCAGAAAACATTCTAGAACTCTGCTGGCCTTTGTGAGGTTTCTCTCAAGTGGAATGATGCTAGAGAAAAGAAGGCCTTCCCTAGTCCACAGCCCCAGATCACCGGCTATGAGCTCCAAGGAAGGTCCACCGCTCCTGCTCCCATCGTAGAAGAACACCATTACCAATGGTGATAAGACATCTAGCCAAAAGTGAGTTCTCCTTTTAAACATATTATTTCTCAATAATATATCGGAAAAATAAGTCTATCTCTTGAAATAGTCCATGGCACTGTTATGCATACCTGGTGATTGATAAAAACCATTTCTTCAATTGATAAAACTGCACTGTCCATCATAATAAGATGTGTTTGGGAGTAAATACGATGTCAGATGTGGCTCCTGACTTTCTAAAGCCGTCCTGAGTTTCAGGAGAGGCGGTGATGGGAAGACATTTGGCTTCGGAGATGAGAAAGCCTGGACTCACAGTCACTCTGCCCCATTTGACTAAGATATATTGTCACCCAGACCATCTGAACCTTTCTTAGCTTGTACTTCCTAAACACTAGTTGGACTTACATAGGAGTGTGGTGATCAAATTTGAGCATCAGTGTGGATAACGCTGGAGCAGGAGTGGGTCCAGCATCCCCCATGGATGTGATGGTAACAGATACTGGCATTCGTCAAGAATGGTGGCTTGACTGTTTTATGCTCCAGAAGGAAGAGGAGTGTGGTGGCCAGAGTGGGACCTGCTTTCTGATAAAGACCTGCTCCGTTCTGCCCATCCCTTCTAGGTGATTCTGGAATAATGTATAACCTGTTCTTTCAACCCAGTTGGCTCCCACAGTTCACTGGGAGTCTGAATGGAGTTACTAGGCATGAGTCTGGGCCCCTGGGCAGCTTGAAACTGAGTTTAGAAGAACAGAAGTTCTCAGTTGAAGCTGTTAAAGATGAGAGAGTATGACCTTGTCTAGGCTGAGGGTGGTGTAGCTTGGTCCCCACAGAAGACAGCCCATCTATCACCTCTCCATCTCTAGGCATCAATATTCACTTTCTTCTGGATGACTTTCAAAGATGAAAGAGCAATGTCTCATGAGTTGCATGTTGGATCCACTTCAAATTCTCCCTTCTTTATTCTGAAGGGATTTCCAACGGGGCTTTCTCCATTTGTGATCACATGTTACCTTGGGAGCCTTCCAGACCCCAAGGGCCATATAGATCAATGTTGTTTCATGGCTATGCTTAGACTCTGCTGGCCTGGGATAGGCCCACCAGATCAGCATCCCAACAGCACTTGGAAGCCAATCTTCTGGAAGGGTGAATGGTACCCCAGCTGTATTCCAAGAACTTACATCTCCTTAGAGGGCTCCACAGAGCTCCCTAGAATTGGGCCTTCAAAGGTGGTGGTTAGTTCCCAGAACAAGCTTTCTGCCATTTACTTGACTGCCTGGAATCTATATCGTCTCCTCCCAGGAGGGAACCTGGAGTCTCCTCCCAAGCTTCAACCCTAGGTCTAGTCCCAACTTGGAAGATATTCAAGGAGAGCCCAAAGTTTAACATGGGCTCCTGCCTCAAAGAAAAAACATCTTCATGCCCAACTCCTTCTATGCTGTTTTGTCTTTTAGAAAACAGTTGGAAAGACACGATAGGATGGGTTAGCAGGGAGCTGGGAGATCCGATAGGATGGGTTAACAGGGGGCTGGGAGATCTGATTCTCAATCATCTAGAAAAAAAAAGCCAATTCACAATGATTTACTAATTTCAGCAACTGGAACTATATCTCTATATCTCTGCTGGTGGGTTTGTTGTGTGCCTCAGGACAGGGGAGCCTGTGTCCTGCCCAGTTCTTAGCCTGGTAAGGTTCTCTGTGCCAAATGATGCTAGGGACAGTGTCTACCATGAGCAGTCACCTACCAAGAAGCCAAAAGGCTGGCATTGGAAATCTAATTCCCAAGTTGTCTTGTTGTTTGAACCCCAGAAGCAAATTCAGGTTAACCTGAACCCCAGTTTTCATATTCAGGTAACAGATCAATAGAAATCAATGAGGAGAACTCAGCATAGTGGTTCATGCATGTAGACCTGCCATGGGGAAGGCAGAGGCAAGAAGATCACAGAATTTGAGGCTATCCTGGGCTACAGAGTTAGATTTAGATTCTGCAAAAAAAAAAAAAAAAAAAAAAAAAAGAAAAGAAGAAAGAAAAAAGAAAAAAAAATCCACAAGAAGACATTTTTTTTTCAGACTAGAGACCTTTGCTCTGATTAATGGATCTTTCTCTCACGGCTTCTCTGCTCCCTCCTGAGCCCTCCTTAGCACACACACCTTGCATACAGTTCTAGACTTAATGATAGGATGTCATGGCTGTCTGGCCTGCTCCAGATCACAGGGATGTCTCACCTATTGTCTGATTTCCCACTACATCCCACTTCCTCATCATAAGCGAAGGCAATGCCTATTTCACTGTATCTACTACATCTATCTGCCAGAGTTTCCCTTTCCGTAAGAATTTACGTATCAGTACTTTAAAGATGTTTTTCTTTATATATATTCTTTTATGTAAAATTATTGATTTTCTGTCTTCATTTATCTTAAATTCATGACTTATTTATTTATTTATTATGTATACAATATTCTGTCTGTGTGTATGTCTGCAGGCCAGAAGAGGGCACCAGACCTCATTACAGATGGTTGTGAGCCACCATGTGGTTGCCGGGAATTGAACTCAGGACCTTTGGAAGAGCAGGCAATGCTCTTAACCACTGAGCCATCTCTCCAGCCCCCAAAATTTCATGACTTTTAAATTATGTTTTCTTACTTAAGTATTCATGTATGTATGTATGTATGCATGTATGTATGTATTCAGATTATAAATATACCATGCAGTAAAATTTTGAGTATTTTAAATTTTTCTAATTGTATTTGTAATTCAGTTAAATCATTTATTGTGTAGATTCAATAAAGCATTTAATATTACCTTTATCTTTAGGCTAAAATATAAAATAGTAGTATCATGACATCAAGATCTTTACTTAATAGTGAATTTTTATTTTTAAATTAAAATTAGTTCAGTTTGCTTCTCTATACAAAATTTTTCATTGTTAGGATCAATTACATAGCAATTTAAAAATATTTTACTTAATTGCTAGCCATTCTATTTGTTTTCTAAATCATGTTCAGTTAGAGGAATTAACACTATAATAATAATTTTATTTCTCCATGTCATTCCTACAATGTCATTTTCTTACTTGCAGAATGATGCTAATACTTGTCGTTTGACTGATTTTCTTAAATACAAGAAATTTGATCTAAAGCAGAGGTTCTTAACCTGTGGGTCACAACCCCTTTGGGGTCAAAAACCCTTTCACAGGGATCGCCTAAGACCATCAGGAAACACAGCTATTTACATTACGATTCATGACAGTAGCAAAGTTACAGTAGCTATGGAAATAATTTTATGGTTGGAGATCACTACAACACAAGGAACTGTATTAAAGGGTGGCAGCCTTAGGAAGGTTGAGAATCACTGAGCTAAAGGAAAACACAAGTTGTCAAACAAAGCCAATACACAGGCAGGTATTTGAACTGCAGCTGTGCTCCCGGCTGGTGTCAATGTGACATCATCCAGGTCAGGCTTGACTTAGTGCATTAGTTCAAGATACAGATCCCAGCGACAGTACAGCAACGTTGGCTGAGAACAGCTACCAGACGGAAAGTGGTTGTATGCTTGTGTGACCTCATGAGCACTTTGCTCCAATCCGGTGAAACAAAGTTACAAGAGAAGTCAATAAATTCAAGTAAATAAACATTGAAAGGACAGCCCTCCCCCAACAGAAGAGCAGGAAAACCCACACATACATGGGAAATAAGAAGGAACTCGAAAGATAGCTCGTGGGGCTGAAGGCTACTGAAGATGGCTTCCCTTAAAGGGTGCCATGTGGACTGTTCAGTGTTGCTGGGGCTGTTGCCATGGAAAGTCTCTTCCTTGGAAACTCTCACCACCCTCTGCTTGAAGCTGGGGAAAACACACAGAGATCAAGTTTCCTCTCCCTGGGAGACTAGTAAATGACCTCAGCCTTTGCCTTTGCCTTTCCCTGTATAGGCTGGGTCAAGAGTATGCTAATTAACTCCAAGTCCCAAGACCCTTGTTGCCTGGTGACAAAGTTGCACAGTGGAGGAGCACCAGGAGGAAAGGCAGGTAAGGTTTGCTCCCTGGTGGCCCGTGCCTGCTCATCTGCCTCAAAACGGCTTCTCTCTGCTCTCAGTAAATAGCTCGCAAATGCCGGCTCTCAAGGCTGCCTCCTTACAGAGCCCAGACACCAGCTAATGCATTATTTAGGGAAGGAGGCCACACACCCTGAGCCCTGGCCAGGACAAACAGCTAGCTGGGGATACAGGCCGGTTTTCAGGTGTCTGGAGCCATGGGCTAGCTTGGCGAGGGAGACACGGAGCCACACTTTGGTTCTTCCTAAAAGCTGGGTCTCTCTGGGCATGTGTTGCTGGCCCAGGGCAGGCGGAGGCAACATGCAGGCTGGGAAAGCGCAAGAGACTTATACAAAGTCACATACAGAAAGGAGCGGAGCAATGACTGGTGCAGGTAAGAAAGATACATTGTCCTAGGGTTTGAGTGTCAGCCTCCAGAAGGGAGGGGCTGAGAAAGCCGCCTTGTCCCTCAGAGTCCTGGAGTGCCCAAGCTTGTCTATTGGCTCGTCAATGCTAGCTTCTCCGTGGGTCTCCACAGGGTCTCTTGGGACTGGGATGGGGAGAACTTCATACACTGCCCCCTTCTGTTGGCAGAGTGGCCGAAAAGGGAAAGCCAGGTGATCTTTCCAGGTACCTTTTCCTGTGCCTACCGACCCCAAGGTGCGTAAGTGAAGCGGCCCCTCATCCTGGCAGGTGACCCACTGCGATAGCCACCTCAGTTTATCACCAGTTTGATCCACTGCCAACTGTTTCTCAGCTCTCTCTCAGTCTCAGGTAACAAGACTTGTCTAATACCGTGGCTAGGTGTGTGAGGCACTCATGCCTTTAAGCCACGAGGATAGACCTTGGCCTGAGCAGGAAAAGCATTTCCGCATCACTTAGTTAAGCTCCCTCCAGCTCCTAGAGAAGGTAATGAATGCATCAGGAGTTTGCCTGCTGGCTCAGAAAGCCAAATGCATTGCAGTTCACTGTAAAGTCAAACTTCTATTGGCAATCAGAAGCTAGGTTCAAAGCACGAGGAAACAAAGGACGCGGGCTCTAAGTTAGTAGTGTGTGACTACTACTAAGTTAGTAGTGTGTGATAAAGGGCAGGCTGTCAAGCCTGGAGGTTTCTTCCTGTCTCCTCAGCAGCCAGTTATTCCTAGCTAGACTCAGGCAGGCCTGCTCCTAAGCAGGTACCCACCTCTCACACATACTAAGTATCCTTTGTGCCACATGCCTTTTGCACCCTGAGATCTTTCCACCGCCTGTAAATGTAAAGAAATTCAGTCTAGGAAAGCGTGACTCATTCCCAAAGTCCCATCTTAGCAGGAAGTGGGTAGCCACAGCCTTAGTCCTCCACCTCTCTCTTCCATGTGCCCGGCCCCGTCCACATTCTGTTCTTCCCTTGTCTCCATCTCTTCGTTCTCTTTTCTTCAGGATGCTCCCACAACTCCCTTACCAGCCCAGACTTCCCCCAGCTCTCAGGACATCTGTCGTGGAGTCACCCCTCTCCCTGGACTCTTCTTCCTCCAGTCTTCTCATGTCATGTCTCCTAAGCACTTCAAATAACAGGGCAAATGCCACCTTCCTAGAGGGGACTTCTCAGCCCCCTCTGAGATTAGCCATCCCCATACACCAATATCTGCAGCCTAACTCCAGCCCTCTCTTTTCCACAATCACTTCTCTCTTCTGCATAGCATTTACACCATTGGAAATGGCCCTGGGTTTCTTGACCTGATTGCTCAGCAAGTGGGAAATTCATGAAAACCATAACACTGTCTGCCTTAGTCATTCACTTCCTGTCTCCTGACCTGACCTATAGCACAGCCCCAATAAAAACCGATGCAGGGATGGATGAACAAATGAATGAATGAGTGAATGATTTGCTTGCACTATAGAGAACTCTAGAGATTAAAAGCAGTAAAGACACCTTTAAATTGATTTTATATTCTTGCATTGCTGGTGATAGTAACAGTGTGCGTTTAAAAGTTGCAGTGGTTTCATTCGGGAGTCTGCAAAGACTGTTTCCCAAACCTACACCTGACATAACAGACCAATGATAGTGTCCATGGTTGCTGGTGGGAGGAAGAAGATGATGAATGGCACTGCCAGGTTAATAGTTCATAGGAGCTAGCATCACTGAGTACCCACCATAGTCCTTGGCATATACAAATCACTGTATTTCCTTTCTACCTTCGTTATTTTCCTTCCTTTCTTCCTTCCTTCCTTCCTTCCTTCCTTTCTTTCTCCCTCCCTCCCTCCCTCCCTCCCTCCCTCCCTCCCTTCCTTCCTTTCTTTCTTTTTAACAAATTACAGCTTACTGATGTATTTTGCAGATAGGCAAACTGATTCCACACATGTTACATGGCCAGAGCTGACAATGACAGTTCCTGTTGTCCTGCGCCACAGTGCTCTCATATACACCTGGAAAGGGACAGACCACATGACCCCGTATGTGAGAGATCTGAGGAGTTGCCCTCACTAAACACAGCAGTGATAGTTGACATGAGTCTTGGTAACAGTCATGTCTGTCCAAAGTCAGCAGGAAGGGCCACTCATATGCCTAACATCTTAATAGTCTTGCTCTTACACACACACAGAGAGACACACACACACAGATACACATACATACACACACATGCACACACAAATACATGCCCACGCAGATACACATTTTAAACAGAGTAGAAAAGTGACCAAAATTCGTGGAACATGAAAAAAAAATGTCACATTTGTGAGTGTATGTGAACTTTTCCATATACATTGCAGAGAATCCAGAAACTGCCGACGGCAGTACTGTACTCTCCAGAGTGTATGATTGTTGCTGCTGGCTGTTTTTTTCCATTGCTACTTCTGTGTGTGTGTGTGTGTGTGTGTGTGTGTGTGTGTGTGTGTACTTATAAGAGCACTGGGCTCATATGGACATTTAATACTTTCTTGCTAACATATCTTAAACATCTTCACTTTTGAGACAAAAGGGTTTTGCTTTGTTTTATATTTGATTCATTCTGTGACCATACAGTAATTATCCACCAATCATCTTTTATTTGACATTTTAGCTGCTTTTAACTATTTCGTATGCAGGAGTTCTATCTTTGTTTCCTAAAGAGGGGATCTTAGAAACAGCTCCCTCCATTCCCAAGGGCTGGGTGCATCTCTCCTGTTTTCTGCACCATCTCTTCACTCCATCCCCATCGGCCATCTCTCCTTCTGGATTGTTTCTCCTTCTCTTCTAGGTTTAACTCCGTTAAACCAGCTCCAGCTGTAGTGCTGCCAAGCCCTCCCAGAATGCTCACTGCTGTAGCCACATACACTACCATAGGGCTGGAGAGGTGGCTCTTTGATTAGGCGCACTTGCTCCCAGAGGACCCAAGGGTGGTTCCTAGCACCCATGTAGGGTAGGTCAACCACCTGGAACTCCAGTCTAAGGGATCCAACACCCACTTCTGGCCTCCATCACCATATGTCTCACACACACACACAAATTTAAAAATCTATAACTAAAAAAAAAATAACCCAAAGTATTTCTGACCCCAAGAGTGCCACACGCAAGGCTGGCCATTGCTTTCAGTGATCAACCAACACTTGAGTGCCTGAGTCTCCTTCCACCCACAAAACTGAAAAAATATTGTGTTCCAGGAATCATTTTAACATGGATAGAAAAACAATGAATCAAGTTAGTTATACAGGGCCAAGATGTGTTGGGGCACAAACAGAAGTGCATGTGTTGCAGGCCCCACGTGACATGAGCCCTGCGCAGCTCCATGTGTCCTCTTGTCTTCCAGGATGGAGAGAAGCGTAGGTGACAGGGATGGCTGTCATAGCACATCAGTGACTCTCAGCCTGTGGGCTGTGACTCTTGAGGGCGAGGACCAAAGGGGTTTGCACATCAGATATCCTGCATATCAGATACTTCCATTATCACTCATAACAGCAGCAAAACTACAGTTATGAGGTAGCAATGACATAATTTTATAGTTGGGGGTCACCACAGCATGAGGGACTCTATTAAAGGGTCACAGCCTTTGGAAGGTCAGGAACCACTGTGGTACACGGGGGTGTCAGGCTGCAGTTTGTAGGGGATTTCTACTCAGCATGGGCCCACTATGGGCAGTTTCTAGCCCACTGTGCACGCCCGTCTCCCCACTCCTCACAAGGCTACCTGCTCTTCCCTTGTATCTCGGCACCCCTCCCTCTGTGGTATCTATTACCAGCATAAAGCTCATGAGGCTCAGAAGGTTGTCCAGCTTCGCGTGGAGGATGTGCGGGGACCACGTGGTTAGCATCATGGTCTGACAGCTCTGGACATTTACCCTCTCTACTATGCTGCTTCTCTGAACCCCAGTTCTCTGCTTTGCAAGGGGAGGGGTGACTGTAGCAAAAAAAAAAATGGAAGCAATGCCTGCTTGCAAGAGCAGACCTCGAAACCCCATTAGAAGCTACCAGGCTGACATGAGCCCTTTGTCCTCTGCTTGTGTTCAGGCTGGGTTGCGTGTTTGGAACATGTGGTTGATGAACAAGGCCTTTCTAGTCTGTTAAACTAATAATCTTAAAATTTTATTTTAATTGTAAGGCACCTATTCCCTTTTGTTCCTTTAACAAATCCAATTAAAACAGAGTACATTCAGAATTACAAAATAGATGCTATTAAACCAATAAGAAATCATAATCTTTCGTTATGGGGCCATGTGACCCCTGGGGAACTTTTGCTCCAAATAAAAGTTGAATTCTTATTACCCACCAGGGGGAAGAGGACAGTTTGACAGATAGTGCTTCCAGGCAGTACGTATGCCAAGCCACAATGGTGCAGAGAGAGAAGTAAATAATGCGAGGGTGGGCAGGGCTGCAAACACAGAAGGTCCCAGCAAAAATCCTCAGACCAGCATTATCATATTAACCAGATAACTGCCGAATCAACGGTCACCCCATGTAGAGAGTGTAGACGCTGCGATTCTTCAGGCTGGGAGGAGCTGGGACAGGATAGAAGGAGATTCCTCCTCTACAAATCTAAAACAGAATGGTTGGCTTTTCATGTGAGCTAGTGTGGAAAAGAGCAGCCAGTACTCTCTAGAGCAAAAGTATGGCTGCTTAGGCAGGAACAGGGAATGATGTTAGCTCAGGCCAGGCTGGGTGAGAATCTTGTCTCTTTACAGCCTCGGCTTATTCAGTATAAAAAGATGCTCACACTAAGTCAGCTCCATGGCTACTGAAAGGGCTGAAGGACAAAATCCCTGTCTTCATCATTGCCCACATAAGCAAACAAGCAAGCACACATATTTATTGAGCTGCTGTATGACTTCTTTGTGTATGACTTCTAAACGCCCCTTTCTCCTCTCTCTCATTTGATTTTAAGAGTAAAACTACCACATCAAGGCCATTAAACACTACTAAAATTTATACTTTGTATATATC